GGGAAAGAGATCAGTTTGTACATAGAAGTTTATAATACACTAATAATAGTGTAATTAAATTATTTAAATAACTGAATTTTTCATGGCAAAGCAATTAGTAGTAAAATTATTTCAGTGTCGTGCAATAGAATAGATCACAATAAGTCTTTTTCATTCACAACTTCACAGCTACTAATACTAAACAAAAGTAAAAAATGTGATAATAAAATGTGATAATAGAAGGGAAAAAAATGAATTTTTATAAATTAAATATTTTCGAACTCTTCCTTGAACCTTTGATATGCACCTACATCTATCAAAATAATAAACTCGAAGATTCACATTGGACTGATACTTGGTTCCATTGCACTTAACAATACACGCACTTTTAATAATTCGTAGAGGTAGTATCTTATGTCGTAGTCTGTTAGCGTCTGGTATAATTGCTTGAAATCTGTGTTGTTCACATGTTCAAATATCAGTGCCGGTGTCCTTGATACAGGATCTTTAACAACAGCTTGGAGTGTAATTATGTTGGTCCCACCTTTGAGGTTTTCTAAGATTTTTATCTCCCTTTTTATTTTCTTCTTTTTTACAGGCTAAATATTAAAAACAGAAAAAATTAAAACTTCACATTAATTGCAATCAAACTGCTGAAATGTAATTCACATGTTTTACCTTTAAAATTTTTACAACACATTTTTCATTATTTGTAATATTAATGGCTTCAAATACTTCACTATATTTTCCTCTGCCTAATTTTCTTACTAGTTGATAATCATCTTGTTGTCTATATAACAAATAATTCATTATTATTAACCAAAATAAGGAAGTCATAAATATGAATAAACATGTACACACACACACACACCTCATATGATCCACACACATACATACATACATATATGCGCATATAACTTTTTATTATACACTTACCCCCAATCAACAACATAAGATTCATAGTCCCAATAATCTCTGGATTTGTGTGAATTCACATCTGTGTAAACTCGCGCTCTACTGGGTAGTGCCATTTTTTCTGATATATTACTACTACTATTTGTTGTGTGGATTGTTATTCCTGCACTCTCTATCGAAAAATTACAAAAGCTAGTTAATTTACCTCCTCCACTCACCCAGTTATAAAAGCGCGAGGATAAACATATACCTGAGTCATTAAAAAAAATCATATTAAAATCCGTCACAATTATATGTACATATATTTTAATTTAGCAGAAAAAAAGTATAAAAAATTATGAAATACATGAATACGTAATAGTCTTTTGCTAAACATTAACTTACATTTAAACATATATGTATTACATAAAATATTAAAAGTTAATGATACTGGTATTTATTAAAACAATTCAATATTGCATTCATATTTATTTATCATTTTACAATACACTTATAATTAATTACAACAATGCAATATTTGATTATAAATAGTAAATGTACAACATTCAATTGATCCTTATATACTTTTTATTTGATTTAAGAAAAAGTATGATGATAATGTGTAACATACAGAGATGTATTCCATTATTTAGATATGTATACACTATACTTAATGTGATGGATAAACTAAAAATCATCTATATCAATTAAAAATCAATAATACTTACAATATAATTAAAACAACATAGTAAGAAAAACATATATACTTCAATAACCCATAATTGTAACAATAATTTCTTGTACATATAAATGATAAAACATGTAATCAGATTCATTTACATTCTAACTAATGCAATCTTTATTGAAAATACCTTTATAACATTTAACTAAATGTAATTAGAAAAAGTAGTTATGTGGTTAGAAGAATCAAAACAACTTCAATAAAAATAATTATATGATAACAAGCAGAATAACAAAAGAAAGAAATTAATCTCAAAACAAGAAACTAATAAACTTAAAAACGTGTTCACTTTACTTTATAACGTATGAACTGCATATTCCTCAGATGTCTATTGATTGTGAGCTTACAGAACACTACCAGTTCGTTTCTGTGACTTAAAGTTATGTTTTAGCAAAAGAACAATTTGATATATACAAATACAATTTGTAGGTAGAAAAAATTAGTACTTTTGTTAAAGAGTAAAAATCTAGGTAAAAATTAATCTACTATCGCAACATGGATTAGAAACACGCACAAGCACAAGCACGAACACACATGTACGAGATAAATCACACGCCATCGCAATCAGGAAATTAATGTTGACTCATTTCAGACTCACCTAATACATTCCGGACCCAAATCTTGAATAGATTGACCGCAACAGATCTCTAAATTCGTCGTGAAATCACGCAACCTGCTTACGGAATACGTGAGGCCGCGCGAACGCATGAAACTCAAAGATTTTTGCGGGTGGCCCGGCTTCTCAAACGAGCGAGGTCCAAGATGGCAGCCAACAACCCACCAGAAACTTCAAATATATAGATTGAAATCACCAACCTTCGACCGTCTCTCCAATCAAAATTCATTACGACTATCATTTTCTTATATTATCAACATAAAGTTAAAAAATATTATAATCTTTACATTATTATTTATATTGATTAAATATATTTTTAAATATGTAACATGTCTGTAATATGTTTTCTATAACTGCATAAAATTCAAATATTAATTTTGTAATATTTTATACATATTACTATGTTAATATAGTAATAAAATTCTGTTACTGAAACGTTTTGAAATAAAACGATGAGAATAAAAATATAATAAGAAATCATACAATAAATAATAATGCGATATTGTAATAACCGTTTTATTTAACTAAAGAATTTCCATTTTTATTGAAATGTTAATTACTAGTAATGAAAAGTCTTGAAGTGTGTATCTAGTGAAAAAATTTAAATTGTCTCATGTATATTGACCAATCAGAATTTCTTTTGTAGCAGTCCGTGATTTTAAGTTAAAGCAACTAAAATTTAGAATGTTTGAAATTGAAATTATCGCTGTTACATGATTTATACATGCAACATATATTTCTAATAAATTAAGTTTTGAAAAGAACATTAAATGCTAATATTTGAAATGAATTTTTTACATTATTAAGAATTAAAACTTATTCAAGTAAATTGTACTTATATTCAATACATGACGAAATTCCTCGGATTTTTGTTGAAACTAGTAACTAATATGAATATTAAGTATTAAACGAACTCAAAAATAAAGAAATTTTTTTATTTTAAACTTAACAGAGTTAGTATTTAAATAACAGTTACAGTATTGTAAATTAAAAACTATTCTTAATTTTTGTTACTGAATGTATAGGATATAATAAAGATAAATCATTTTTTAATGAAAACCATTGCTGCAAAAGTTGTCCTATATTTTCAGCACTGTCCTATAATAGATAGAAAATATATCATATATGATTAGACTAGATAATAACATTGTATATTTAATCTTCTATTGTCAAATTTACCTTGTTCATGTTTGTCTCAGGTATATGCAATTCTTTTTTAAGATTTTTCACATCTAAAATCCAAATATGTGTAGATTTGTAAACAATCCATAAATTTGAACATAACAGTCCAACAACAAGATTGGTATGTTCACATGAAGAACTGTAATGTTTATAATAAATATTATATATTAATAATATTATAAATTTGTAAAACGTACAAATTTCGAAATCTCTAACACGTACTTATTTCGAAATTTTTCAGTAACTTTCTTTATATCTATATCCCAAGGTACGGTAGTCCTCATAACTAAATTTTCTTTCTTCTCGTAATTCATTCTTTTTATTTTTTCTAATGCTTTCAATAGTCTATTCTTATCTTTCGAATTGGTATCCACTGTATCTTTTTCTTTTGTTTTTAATTTATCTCTATCGCAATCAGCTTTTTCGTCACGTGCAAGATCTCTATAATATCCCCGTTCCTCGGATGATAATTTTTTCCAAAGACTAGTTACTGTATGAGCAATTTGAGGTGCTGTCATGTTAGGATTTTGCTTTAGGACTAAAAATAAAAGTTCAGACATAATATGTATATTTTACACAGATTTAGACTGACAATAAAGTGGATTATCTATTAGATGTATTTACCTTCTGGTCTGATATGTTTGGAAAATTTGAGGAAGCCTTCACATACATTTCCATGTGTATCATTATTTGATGATTTATTTGGTTCTACATAAGTATAAAGTTCTATATCTGTACCCCCCTACAAAAATAACCTTAAGTATGCGTCACATAATTTTCATAATTAAACTTATTATGTTAAATTCATTGTAAGTTTTACCTGCAAACCAGATACATGTCCTTTACTCCATTCTTTCAATGTAACAGTGTTTTTTGTATCTAATTTATCCTTTGTATACAAACTTTCTGGATTAGTATTTTTTATATTATTTTCTTTTCCATTTTTATTTATATTTAAATAGTCATCTAATTCAAAATCTTCACCTAAATCTATTACTGGCAGTTCACTGAGTGCTTCAGATTTTTGTGTTAATTCAAATGGTGGAGTATCTTCAATGTTTTCTTTCATGTTATCATTACTATTAAGAATAAAACATATATATTAAATACAGTCTAATTGGAATGCACTTTAATCTATAGCTTTAATACTAACACTGAACTATGAGAAATATTGTTATTGCTATAAGTCAGTGCAAAATTTTGCGAATCATTTGAATCTGGATCACTTAAATCTAAAAATGGTAATTGAACATTAAGATTATTTATATTTTCTTCGCATCTTTCCGCACTTCCTTTGTTACTATCTTGTTTATTAGGAGAAATTTGTATCAGCTTTCTATGTTCAAAATTATTACTTTCAGCAGAATTTACATTATTTTCTACATTTTCATCAGCATTTATGTTCTTTTTAATAGGTTTATCAATATTTTCTTCTGTTCTGCTTTTCTGTTCTTCTTCTATTAATTTTCGTTTCTTAAATACAGGTTCCTCAATTTCAGCATTACTAATATTTGTTTTTAATGTATAATCTTGATAGTCAGCAAATGAACTGTCACAAGTGCTTTTTTCTTGTACTTCTCTTTGTATGCCATAAAAATTTTCTAAATACTTTTCTACCATGTTAATAACCATGTTCTGTAACATATAGTAAAGGTGACATAAGTTACAAAAATAATATATCATTATTTATCTTGTACATACAAGTACCTGGTCTTTAAAAAGGGCAAAAGTTTTATTTGGTTCTAGATTAATGTCTACATTTGCAGCATTTATTAAAATGTATAGAACAAATATAGGTTTTTTCCTCAATGATAATTCTTGTTCCAATGCCTCCAAAATTATTTTAATTACTATCTGAAAATGGTCTGTAAATATTTTCTAACTGTATTGGTTAATAATAAAAGAACTGATTAAAATGTATACCTTTTCTAATTCTTTATGTTTAATTGGTCTATTGTTCGCAAAAATATATTGTGCTCCAGAATGAAATACTTCAGACACATTTTGTATTGGTTTCGAAGGTACCATTATCTTCATTTTGATCTAAAACAAATCATATACTTTAGTAATCTAAAGAATCATATAAAAGATAATGTGCAAAATCTTACATAATTACATCTGTATCTGTAATATCCATCCAATTCATATTACATGTTACTTTTTTACCAAGGGTATATGTAACTGCTTCTTCAAGACTAGTTAAACTAGGTTTTGCAAATATAATATTATTATCTACTTTATAACTTATTCGTACAAAAAATTTGCATATTCCATAACTTCGTATTAAAGACTCCAAGGTTTTAATATCTTGATTAGCTTTCTTTGAATGTGTAATTATTTGTCTTCTAACTGGCATGTGTTTAAACAATTGCTTCACTTGTACAGTTGTTCCTAGCAAAATATATGTATTTTAAAAATTTTAAACAATTTAAGATTTAAGACAAATTACCTGTAGATCTATGACAAGGTTCTGAACTTATGATATGCCCATAATGATCAATAGTATAAGATGCAGCAATTTCATCTTGTTCTCTTTTTGATATAATTGTAAGATCTGATACTGAGCTCAATGCATGTAAAGCCTCTCCTCTGAATCCATACGTTTCTAATGAATCTATAAGTAACGATATGATTATAATTGTAGGATTACCTTATGTATTAATTTTGTAATATATTATTATACCTAAATCAGAAAAACTATGTATCTTTGACGTGTAAGCTGATAGAGCCATGTAAGGAGCATCTATTTTTGAAATGCCATAACCATCATCCTTCACTTCTATTAAGGTACACCCGCTGTCTATCTAATAAAAATTAAGAAATCTTAAAATAATTTAAAAATAAAAATATGTTGTGTAAACAGAAAAATGTGACATACCAAGTTAATTTCGACATTTTTAGCATCAGCGTCTAATGCATTTTCTAATAATTCTTTTACAGCAGTAGATATCGAAGTTATAATTTGAGTAGTAGTTATGAGTTTTACGGTATCTTTGTCTAAAGCCGAGATGATCATTTTTATGAAATGTCAAATTTATCAAATACCAATCAATGTTTGAAAATTTATATTTTATATACTTATACATCACATATTGGTAGAACCAAAAACACAAATATCAGTTTTAAATTTTATTCTCGAATTAAATTACAAATATAGATTGTGCGCAAACTGTGGAAAAAAGAATGCGATTACAACGACACGATAGTCGATTACGTTTCCAAGCGCGCGAACTTAGAAAGATGAAGCGCATAAGTGAACAGATTAGAAGCGCGTAATTAATAATGTAAGAAATGGTTTTAACAATGTAAATTATACTTTATTTCAATGTATTTTTTTTATAGTAACATAAACAATATATGAGGTGTTTCAATAGCATTTATTTATTTGTACTTTTCCATCAATGTGTCTACGAATTTAATGTACGCTTCTTTTGCATCGTCTTGCGACATACCCTCCTTCAATTTCCACGCATCCCACTTTGCTTTCCCTTTTAAATCCAGCATGCCCGGTCTTGCTATTATCATAATGTATAAAATAATTATTTAAAATATAGTTTTAAATGTTAAAATTAGTTTTAGATACAAGTTTTTAAATAACGTGTATTAAATACATATAGTCACTTACAGGTATTTATATTTCCAACCGTTGCTTGCTTGTACAATGCATACAATTCCAAAAACTCTTCGTCAGTTGGACGTTTGGACAGAGTTTTTATAGTTTCTGCCGCTTTTTCGAATTTCTATAATATCACACATATTAAGCTCGTAACATGAATATTTATGGTAATGATCATCTTTTTCGAACTGAATATGAAGTATGCAAGTAATGTAAACATGATTGCAGAAAAATATAATTTTATCTTCATGTCGTTACATGATCTATCAGCTAATTATTGTTTAAGAGCAAATTCCTTTAAAAATGAGTAGAATTAATAATATGTTTATTATGTCAGTTAAAATTTTTCTGTTATTTTTTACGATATTGATCGCAAATACAATATTCATAGAAGATGACTACGTGAAAATTCATATGATGTAGTTGCAAGTCCAAAGTTGACACGTGTGACGTAACAGCCTAAATACAAAATTATTCGATTCGTAGAGATTTATCAAACAAAACAACAATATTCGGTTTTTCTTTTTTTTTTTTTTTTTTTTTTTTGAAATGAAATATCAATAAGTCATAACTGAATGCGGGTATTAACATCGAACAAATTAAGTAAGACAGGAGCATCTTTCGTACTTTATAGTAATTCTTTCTTTTTCTTCTCTAGTATCGTTTAGTTTATACATTTGGCACGGACACGTAATGGACCATTTGTTATGGAATTTATAATCCTTAAAAGGTATTGGGTAAATAAGATTGTAATTACCTGATCGAATGACATCCTTTTCAGAAGTTAATGGTATCGTTCGTTTAATGATCACTGACCAACGGATCTACCTATGCATCGATTAAATATCCCTTCTAGATAGATCCCTGACCCCCACCGCTTTTTCTAACTATATCCAGTAATAAGAAACATGCAAACGTATATTAATAAAAAATATGGAATTTGCCTATGATATTTAAATAAAAAATGTGATTACATGATTTCCTATCGTTACCATACAAATTTTTAGCTTTGCAAGTTTTTATCGACGATTATTCCATTTTTTTAAACTTCATCGTTAATATTAAAATCGTAATATATACTTTTCTAACTCCATCTGTATGTTTTCGTATTGTAACAATTAATTATCTTTTATACAATTAATGACTGTATTTATAAATTAGGAATGTTTGCACGTTGGCCTACTTTCGAAAAACAGTATCATGGCTTATGTCGCTTGGTCCGGTCCAATAATGAGAGACCAAGTCCATGAAAACCGCCAGGAAAGAATGGGGCCAACCTGCCACATCATCATCCAACACTCAGCTGCGCAAGAATGTAAGAATTCTTGAATACCTGATGCATCGTTTTACCTTTCCCTGACTTCGGTTTACACGAGAATCTCTGCTCCTCAGGGCTGTGTTTGAAGATACATAGGAAAAGCCAAGACTCGAACTAGAATTTGGAAGAAAATGAAAAGAAGTCGAGTTTCGAATGTCCGTATGAAAAATTTGGTTTGTCAGCATGTACATGATATCGTGATACAGGAATTGTTCAATGGGCGCGTTCAGTAAAATTGTTTCGGTCGAATTAGTGATAAAAAAAAGAACTAGATTGTGTATAATAGGAGAGTAATAAAGAAAGAAATGTGTTATAACAGGTTGTTGGTATTTCTAACCGCGGAATAAAAGTTGCAATCAGTCGCGAAGCGAAAGTACGGAACTGGTATAGATGAAAGTATGAAAACAGGGAGGGTGAATAATTCAAGGAATACGGCAATGGTTGACGAATAGCGACGAAAACCGACGAAGACGACCGATCTCGTGTACGCGGGATTGTGCCCGCACCGAGGCAGAGCAAAACGGTTTAAAAATTCACCGAGTATGCATGATTTGTCACTCGATCGGCGAATCAGTTCAATAGATACGGTGTTGCTCGGAAGAGTACGCGACCAGCTAATACTTATACTCGTGATATATTTGTCATCGCGTTTGTAGATCTTTCGACAAGTACAGTGTCGATAAACACACTTGTAAAAGATATATGTAACCGTGGCCTTGTTAACGTCAAGTTTATGTTGTGTTGAGTGTTGTACGAATTTTGTGATTATTAAACGATACGGGAAGAGAATCGAAGTGCAACAATGGCATGGAATGTCAGAGAATTCGGAGTGAAATACTTAAAATGTGTTGAAAAGCGAATGAAATACAGATATTGGTAAAAGAAAAAGGAAAAGAACATAAAAATATTTTGATTATCGTGATTGCGTTAATCTTTCGTTTGGTAAACCATGATATTTGATATAATGCGAGAAGAACGAGTACCGGAAAGTCATTGCGAAAACGGAACTGTGTGATACGTCTTTAGGAATATTGCGCGAAGCAACGGCGGACAAGCTTAATTATCATTAATTCCGTTTGTTATTAATTCGATCATTATTAAATCGCGGTAACGATAGGCTTATAACACGTTTTAAGAATATCGACGTGATTCGTTAGCTTTCGTTGTAATAAATTGTATCGCGTTGAAAGTTTCTGCTGACAGGAAAGAAAAAACTGTTCGCATCGAGTATGCACGCGCATATTAGCGGTATTTGATAACGGATCGCGTTTCTCTCGTTATCGTTAGATCAACGAAATAGCGTCTTTGTAGGTATTCTTAATTATGTGTAAATTTTTTGCGTGATCACTTACGGTATAATGTCAGGAGCAGAAAGAAAGCAGTGAATGTATACCGATTCGCGTAATTTGTAATGGTCGCATTTAAATAACTATTCTCTTTGATGATCCAGTGAATATTAACGTATGATATACGACATCGTGTGGTTGAAATAAATAAGAGAATGAGTATCGTGCCCATAGCTAATAGAAGTTTCCTCCACGGAGACCGAAAATCATCTCCGACTTCGGAAAAAATTATCTACGCGACTCTCGACAGTCTGGCTTTAAAGAGAGCGACATTACCTCTGCAATTGTTGCCCGTCGACGATAACAACGATACAACCGAAAAAGCGACTGAGCCAAAGAAGAAAGGAAAAATCTGTACCGAAGCAACTGCCAAGAGATCCAGCTTCAAGGTTCGCGTTAATTATTCTTTGATAGGAAACGATATTCACCATTGCGATGCTTTTCAATTCGATGAAATTGCAATTTTACCATATGCCTATTTAGATTATATTTACTTGAATTCGAAAAACACGAGGAACGGTACTTAGACTTCCAGCGTGGTTAGAATTCCAGTTCCGGTTAGAGTTAAACGATGCTAATAAAGGAGTGGCTTGTTAATTTCCAAGTTGCTCGGTCGTTGTTCGACGTTCGGTAAGGATTCGAGAGTTACCGATGATAGATTCGAAATAATTTCACTATCTAATCGCCCTCGTGCGCTCGTGCATCCGTTAAAGTGCTGGATCTTCTTTCTCCTACTATGCTTAACGATTCTTCGAATGCTTATCAGTTTCTGTTGACAACGCTGTTTTTCCGGTCGTCGAGTAGTTTGTCTAGAAATCGTGACACGCACCACGAGTGGCGCGACAGTTACGCTTTTGAAACAGTTACGATTTCTATCGCATTCCTTGAAAGCGTATCTGCAAAACCGTTACGAATGTCTCAACTATAGCGTACGTATGCATAAACTAACGAATTGCGTGAAATGTTTCGTTCAGGTCGACGCCACATGTCTCTCGTCGAAGCAGCACGCGAAATACCTACTGGTCGTATCATCGTCGACGTCAGCGCCACAAAAGAGGGCGCAGTTGGACACCACCATTGCAGATTTCGATTCCGTTATCGAGCAATGCAACGAAAAAAAAAACGGAAGAGAAAATAGCGACTGTTTGCAGCGCGACAGTATTGATAACCACGATATCGATGCTACCTTGATAAGAGTTGCAGGAGAAATCGATGCAGAGTGCGAGAACGATGACTACGGAGAAACTTATTCGCGAGAAAGCAAGCATAATCTCGACCATCGTTACCCTTGGAACGACGAAAACGCTACTTCCTTATGTTGTAAGAAGGACGGAAACGATTACGAGAAAATAGAATCGACGTTTACTACGGACACCTGTTGGTATGTCCGAGAAGATGCGAACGAAGATGACGAAAATCTGGAGAACGAGGAAGATACTTTGTGCACGAAAAATGTGTTCGTAAAGTCCAAGTCTACCAATGATCTGGCGAGCAAGGGTTCTTCGAACGTGAAACTGTTCGATGGAAAGTCTTTAGTGGAAACATTTTCGGATGGCAAATTAGCGGAAAGGTTGATATTCAGTACGGACTTTGAATTCGCAAATTGCGAAAAAAAGAAGAAACATTTTGGTAAAAATATATTGCATTTTGTACCGGAATATTTCGTAAAGGGACCGAAAAGAAAGCAGAAGGAAAAGTGCAATTCGAGAGGGTCGTTGAACTCGTTGAAAACGTTATCAGTAGACTCGAAACTAGGGATAAATTCTAACACTAGGTACCGATCGAGAAGTCTTTCTCGGGAGGAACTGAAATATCTAAAAATCTCTTCGCCAACGAATTTCGTTCATGTCGCGTCTGCCACGAATCCGAATTTGGTTTCAAACGAAAAGACGATCAGGTTTAGCTTAGAGCAAGTCATAATTACACACGAACAAAAGTGTGCCACTTTACCACTTCTGGTTGCAACGAGCGACGAAGATTCAATGGCTGAAAATCGAACCGGGCAATCGTCGATCGCTAAAATCGCCGGATCGGTTCCTTTCGACACGGTTGTTGGTGGTAGATCAAAGGAAGAAACTACACGTACGTTTCCTCTCTCGTGATAATTTTCCATATAAAAAAGATGAAATAATTTTCTGTATTTTTTAAATATTCCTACTATTATCGTTATTACCATCATTATTTGAATTCGGCGATCCTTTTTACCGACCGTCTCCTCTAATCGCGCTTTTTGCAAATTTTAGAAAAAACCGACGTTTTTGATATTGCAAACTTGAAACGCGAATTGTTATCCGAGTTGCAAGCACACTCGGCAAAAGCATTGGAGTCAAGCCAGCAGGTGAAAACGTGCGAATATCGGCCAAATGAACGCGAGGAGAAAACGTACGAAGCAACGTGTGAGTCGTCTACCGAGCTACCTGCTAATTCCAGTTTTCTGTGGAGCAATCGGACTAAGAACTTCCTTTTGGAGAACACGCGATCAATTACGAATGAAAATATCGAATGCATCGAAGATATTAGTGGCGAAGTATACGACGACGTAGGCCCGTTGAATCTTATCGACCAGGTGATAACACAACAAGCGTAAATACTCAGTTCGCCATATTAATTATTGTTAACGTATTTTGAATTTTCTCGCAACAATTACTCGGAATAATATACCTGCGATACGGCCAGAAGATCAAATTATCAGATTTTTCTTTTCTTTCTATCATATTGCAATATGCAATTAGGAGGACGATTACGACGACGTGGGCACACCTGTATTACGAATCAATGGAAATCATCGTATCGACGAATCTTCGATTGCTTTTCAAGATTTCGATGATATTTATGACGACGTTGTGGGTCCTGGCTACGCGGCAAATGTTTTACCGAATAACGAGACGGAAATTCGCGATAACGAGACGAAGGAAGCAGACAAATTGTTCGTTACCAACGAATACTCTAGTGTAGACGAAGATACCGATGTAATGATAGACAACGATCGAGACCTGTACGATGACGTTGGTTTACCAAGCGAGGAACGAGTCAATAGCCTTTACACTGGTTCTACGATGGGTTCGATCTTAGGATCGACTTGGGCATACGGCAAAGAATCCGAGTGGGAGGATTTGGACGATTCAACTACGACCGGTTCAGCTCAATTCCCGAATAAATACTCTTCATCGTAAGTGTAATCGAATATGATAAAACTGAAACACAAATGTTTCATTTAGCGTAACTTTTCTAAAAACTGATTTTTGTTTAATGGAAAAAGTACAGAGACACAAGTCGTTTCGAGTAGAAAAAGATCGGGTCAAAAATGGTCCCGGAAGACAAGAAGACCACGATCCTGGGTATCAAGGAAAAACTTCAAATCATCGTCAAAGTCAGTTTCATGCGAGTCTACGTACAATGGTAAGTTGGTGTAAAAAAAAAAAAGTGAAAATTGAAATTAATTTTACTCGTGTCACACTCGGTAAAATCTTTTGGAATTTTCAATGTAACTTTCGTTACGGAAGTCACAGATGTATTACCCGCGTGAATAGCAGTGAGTATCGCTTACCTTCTAACAATTTGCGTATGGTACAAAGGTATGAGATGCGATTAAACACCGTAAAATTCAATATTTGTTACAAGTTTTTATCCCTTACCTCTACACGCTACACGTGGCTAGTAAGTGAATAAGAATTCGTGTAGACTGCATAATTGATTCGACGTGATTCGGATCTCTGAACGAATTACAAGTGTCAAGGTAGTTCAAGAGTGGGACAGCAATGAACGAAACGGACATTTTTCATCGATCTCGACCTCGTTCTAAATCGATGAGTGATCGGGATTGGCTCGAGATTGGAAACAAAAGGGGGG